ATGCTCCACCATCTTCCTCCACCCATGCTCCACCATCTTCCTCCACCACTGCTCCACCATCCACCTCCAGAATTTACCTCTATGTAATATTTTGTGCTGTGGCTGAGTGGATACATCTCTTGCCTCCTGTCTTAAGTCGGGACGGTGGTTCGATCCCAGAGCACCACCTAGTCCACTCGGCCTTAAATGGGTCCCTGACTTTACAGATGGGGAAGTGAAGGTTATCGAGTGCAGTGCCGACCATGATGCCTTCTCGTGTATGGGAGGCTTACACTGTGTGCTTTAACCCTACTCCCAAACCCTACCCCTTACCCTCTTACCCCTACCCCCAAACCCCACCCCACCCCCACCTCCCAAACCCTTACCCCAAACCCTACCCCCAAACCCCTTACCCCCAAACCCCTCACCCTGTCCATCACCCACACCACCGTCTCCAACCTAACCTAATCCCCATCCGCACTTAATTATCCACCTTTAACCTTGCAACACCTTTATCCCTCTCCATCTCACACCCCCCCCCCATCTAATGACCACCTGATACATCTTCCCTCCCTCCTCCTCCCTACCTCTCCTCCTCCCATCCAGGTATCTCGGTACGCCATATAAACCTTGAGTCAATTGGTTTTGTTGTTGTTGACATATATCAGCTGACTGTGTTTTGTTTTTATCTATCAGCTGACTTTTGTTTACGTGCATCAGCTGAGTCAGGTTTGTTTATATGTATCAGCTGATTTTTTTTTGTTCTTGTTTTGATGTTGTTGAAATTCTTGCATATCATAAGTGTTGTTGTTGTTATTATTATTATTATTATTATTATTATTATTATTATTATTATTATTATTATTATTATTATCATCTCCTGTGGTCTTATGCTTCTGCCATTCTCTTTATCCTCTCGCTTTCTTCTTCTTCTCACTCACACACCCTTTTTCTTTCTCCTCTTTGCCTCACTTTGTTTCTGTAATTTCACTGCTTCCCACTTTCTCTCACTCTCCTTTCTTCCACGTCACTGTCTTTCTTCATCTTTTCTTTCCTTTCCCTTGCCTTCTTTTCCACGTCACTTTCTTTCTTACTTTCCTTTCCCTTCCTCTCTTTCCTTTTTACTTTCCACTGTCGTACTCCTCTCCCCATCAAAAGTAAGGATAGGCATCGCCAGCTGCCAAAGTGAAAGAAACTGTGAAACTTTCTTCCAAAACTTTCACTTTTTTTTTTTAGTTTAGTGAAGTTACGAACGAAGATTTACCAAACTTTATTATTGATAAATGGAGTTTGAATTTTTACTCTCTTGCCTCTGCGATAATACACGAGAGAGAGAGAGAGAGAGAGAGAGAGAGAGAGAGAGAGCTAACAATAAGAGAGAAACAGAGAAAAACACACACACACACACACACACACACACACACACACACACACACACACACACACACACACACACAGAAAGAGAGCTATCACACACAATCATCTATGAGAGGGGAAAGGGAAGGAGGGGGGGGTGGAGGAGGGAGGGGGAAGGGAAGGCAGGACATTGCCTGGGAACCTGTCTGGAAATTTGACTGCTAGCCATTTGTCTGGGAATGTAATGGGTAAGTATACACCCTATTACACACCTGGTTGGTTCTAGCGGGGAGGGGTGTCTGAAGGTGCGAGGGGGGGGGGGAGGAAGGGGTACAGAGGAGGGGAGGAAGGGGGTAGAGGGAGGATGAAGGAGAGGGAGAGGTTTGAACACGGGAAGGGGAGGGAGAAGGAAATTGGTGTGTGGGGGTTCAGTGAGTGGGAGAAGAGGGAAGTGTGGAGAGAGAGGAGAGAGAGAGAGAGAGAGAGAGGAGAGAGAGAGAGAGAGAGAGAGAGGTCTCTGTTACTCAAACTCCACCCTCTTCTTCCTCCTTATCTCCTCCCCCTCCCTCCCAAAGACGGGGCAACTTGCTACAATGAACCCTTCGCTGCCTCTCTACCAAGTCACTCGTAAGTAAATAAGTATATCTCACTTAAGGAGCTTCACTGTGTCTCAAGAGTTACTTTACTGAGTGTGTTAAGTGGTAGACGTTTGGAGCGACCCTAACCTAACCTAACCTAACCTAACCTAACCTCCGTGTTTTGGTGAGCATAGTCAAAGGGCCACACCTCAAGCTGGCTCATGACCACACCTTCCTAAGTTGGTCCATGAATAAAGGCCACATCTCCCCAAGTTGGTCCATGAACAAAGGCCACATCTCCCCAAGTTGGGCCATGAACAAGGGCCACATCTCCCCAAGTTGGGCCATGAACAAAGGCCACATCTCCCCAAGTTGGGCCATGAACAAGGGCCACACCCAGCTGGCCACACACACATGGCCAGGACGTGAAAGTGGCCAGGAAAAGTTTTACTCGTCACTTACAGACCTCAGCAGAAATTTCTCTCCCGTGTGACTTGCTAAAACTCCCGCTTGTTCGCTGTGCATACGTGCGTGTACGTGCTGAGTGGCAGTACGTGCGTGTACGTGCTGAGTGGCAGTTCGTAAGTGTACGTGCTGAGTGGCGGTACTTGCCTGCATTGTTTTCAGTGTTTCGTGCTTGACATCCATCCGTGCGTTCGTTTATGGGGGGGGGGGCGCAATATGTGTGTGCACCCCTCTTAGATCCTTGCGTGCGTGCGTGCGAGGTTCCCTTGTTAGTTAGTGAGAGGCTGATTTAAGGGAGGGTGAGGTGGTGTTGGTTAATTATAGTGTAGTAATTTACTGTGTGTGTGTGTGTGTGTGTGTGTGTGTGTGTGTGTGTGTGTGTGTGTGTGTGTGTGTGTGACAGACAGACAGACAGCCAGCCAGTGATGACATTAATTTTGGCTGAAACCTGATAAACCTACCAGCTAAAATGTGTGTGTATATATATATATATATATATGTGTGTGTGTGTGTGTGTGTGTGTGTGTGTGTTTTTTTTCCCTTTTTTCATTGTAATTATACCTTACATAATATTGAACGAACCTTATATTATATTTTTAATTTCTCTTACGATTATTTTTCTAATTTTCTCTTGCGAATATTTTGTAATTTTTTATTTATTTTTTAACCTTTGTTTTATTCCTTTATTTCCCCTACGATAATAATTTAATTTACTTTACGATTTTATTTTTTTTCACTTAACGACATTTTTTTTTCTTTTACCATACTATTAATTTCTCCTGTGTCTCCTTCACATTTCCTTGGTCACTAGGAACAGAATAAGGGAGAAGGAGAAACAGAGGGAGAATAGGAAGAGAAAGAGAGAGGAGCTATTATTATTATTATTATTATTATTATTATTATTATTATTATTATTATTATTGTTTTAAAAAATATATGTGATTTTTGTAGTGTTAAACCTCACACATTTCGAGGACTTACTTTTTAACTTTCACGGCCTAACTTTTACTCCATGAAATTTGCCGTGTAAACTCTCCTTGCCGTTTACACCTGAATTTGGGAATATAAATACAATCTCCATAGCTGTGTATGTATGTATGTATGTATGTATATATGTATGTATGTATGTATGTATGTATGTATGTATGTAAGGTACGGTTTGATTGGGATAGGGTTAGGTTAGGGTGAGGTGTGGTGAGGTTAGGTTAGGTTGGTTACATTAGGTTAGGTTGTTAGATTGGCTCGTGTCCTGACATCATTAATAATGTAGTGTAAACAAACATGGCAGACCTAACCTAACCTAACCTAACCCACCAGGTAGCGTTGGGGTGTTTAATCTTCAGGTGATGCTAATTAATTAACGCTATCATTACTGTAATCTTGAAGGTTTTATCAAATTTTATAAATTTTTGTAACTTTTCCTATAATAATATTTTCTCTTAAATATCCAAATAATTTCAGTTTATTTTTTTAATCGTGATTGAAATGTTTGCGTTTTACATTGTGTTTTTTTTTTACATGGAGTATGATTTTTCACGCTTAGGCCAATGTACAAGTCAATACTTTCATCTCTTTTATTAATTTTGATTCATTTTTATTTTGTTTTTGTATTTTATTGTATTTTTTTCATTCATACATGACCCGATTTTGTTTGTTTTGTGGAAGATTTTTTTTTAATTTTTTTTTTATGATTTTCCAGGTGTTGGTACCGTGATGTGGGTGTGGAGTTGAGTAATGGTGTGGGAAAGGGTGTGGGTGGACTGGGGAAGGTATAGGGGTGTGGGAAGAGGGTGGGGTGTGGGGGAGGGTAGAGGTGAATTTATGTGTATTTATAAAACTCAAGTGTAAAGTTGTAGCCTCTGGTAAAACTCTTCTTTATAACACATTTTCTTATTTAATTATTCCTCTATTATATGTTATTGTGTACGTCTGTCTGTCTGTCTGTATATGTATCTATATGTCTGTCTGTTTCATTACCTTACTTATCGGTACTTGTTTTAATTTTTGTTTCACTAATACACTAACGAGTCCTTGAAACATCTGTCCTCCTGGCTCCATACCTTCTGTCTAAACCTGATCATCCCTTCTGTCCAAATCTGACTATACCCTCTGTCCAAACCTGTTATATACTGTCTTATACTCCTGCATTATATGTATATAATTTTCCTGGGCCGGATTATCAAAGATTCATTATTTAACTCAATATCCGTAAGTTATTATTTAAAAACTGGGTTAACTTAGGATCCAACACTACTGTATATTAAAACAAAAATATAAACACAATAACAGCTAGTAGTAGAATCCAACACTATTAACACACAAAATATAAACACAATAATAACTATAGACACTACAACTACTACATACGTCATGACATTTTGGCGGGAAAACAAAGGACAATCGAATCTTTGACACACCGCCCAGGGATGATGATGATAAAAATGGGTTCGTAAAAAATTGGATATATATATATTTAGCTTCTTAAGTAACTCTTATATATATTATCTATTATTAGATTAAATTGTATATAATTGAAGAAAAAAAAAATAAAACCACTTATGACTCCTTAAAGACTTGTTTATGTCAAAGCATCTACTTTATATAGTCACTCACCCTCCCCAGGAAGGCGAGCTGCTAGCCCTTGGAGTATGATGACACTCCCTGGTGAGCTGTACTGGAACAAGTTAAGTACACTCACTCACTCACTCACTAGTCGTAGATTTGTTTGAGTACATTTAACACACCCCCTTTAATCAACGACACTAATAATATTTTAAGTACAAGGTCTCAACGCTGTAATATTCTTGAGTACAACGTTTGGACGGTGTGATACGTCGAGTACAAGCCTTGGATGGTGTAATACGCTGAGTACAAGGCTGGAACGGTGTAATAGGCTGAGTACAAGGCTGGAACGGTGTAATAGGCTGAGTACAAGGCTGGAACGGTGTAATAGGCTGAGTACAAGGCTGGAACGGTGTAATAGGCTGAGTACAAGGCCTGGACTGGAATGAACGATACTCACCGATAAATTGAACTCAATAACCGGACTCTTTGTCGTGAACACTGTTGCACCGAGTTGAGTACAGTTGTTGTTAGCCTTTTAATGAACGATATAGCAGAGAGAGAGAGAGAGAGAGAGAGAGAGAGAGAGAGAGAGAGAGAGAGAGAGAGAGAGACTGTGTAAACGATATTGCAACAACGTAACTAATTGCAATTCTTAGTTTACTCTTTAACAACCATATACCTTGTGTACGGCGACTCAAAACTTAATTAAAAAAGATATATTATAACAGACTGAGTACAGTGATTGGACTCGAGTAGACCTTTATTGCAACAGGCTGAGTACAGTGAGTTTCATTAGCGATATTACCTTGAGTACAGTGATTGGACTCGAGTGGACGATATTGCAAGCGAGTACTAATTATTTCTTGATCTTAATTAACGACATATTGAGTACAAGATTTGCGTGAACATTGCAACAGGTTGAGTACAATAAATTCTAAACTCCAAATTACTGATGCCACTATGTTGAGTACAAGAATTGGACTCTAGTGAAGGATATTACAGTGAGTACAGTATCTTAACTAGAAGTAGAACCTGTTGGTACGGCTACCATTAACGGTAATCCCTGTTGTAATGTCCTGTTGCTTATGTTGAATTACCGTTTTTGTAATTCAGCACACAGAGATGTACTTCTGTTTCTCTTCAATTCTGTTGTCTTTGTTCCTGTTGTCTCACACTGTTTTCTGTTACATGGTCTTTGTCTTACCGTTCTCTTCATCTGTTGGCATTTACAGGACCAACGGTAAAATCTCTTGAGCCGTTTTTATATATCTGTTGTCACCTGAGCCGTTCTATACCTGTTGTATCCAAGACCATGTAACAGAAAGAGAACGAACTGCCCCATTAACCGTTATTTACCGTTGTATCAGACCAAAAAACTACACACACACACACACACACACACACACACACACACACACACACACACACACACACACACACACACCGCATAGCAACAAACCCCCAACACTCTTAAATGCTCTATCCGTTGCTACCGTTGAACGTATCTCTTATTCTGGTGCAACGGGTCTGATATTGGCCGTTACCGTTATCTCCTGTTGGTGCCGTTAGAGGATAAATGATCCACCACGGCTCCCAGACTTGGACTAATGACAGCTGCATGGATTCAGCCACTCTGTTATTGATAGTAGAATAGGGGTAGGTGGTGGGGGGTGGTGGGGGATGTGGGGTGATGGGGAAGGGGGTTAGAGGGGTGGGGAAGGGGTGGGGGTGGGGGTTCTGGAGGGGTGATAAGGGAGGTGGGGCCTGGATGGTGGGGGAGGAACATATGGGAGAGAGGCTGATGGACAGGTAGAGAGAGAGAGAGAGAGAGAGAGAGAGAGAGAGAGAGAGAGAGATTGATGAATGAGGGAGTTAGAGAGAGAACGAGAGAGAGAGAGAGATAAGGGGGAGGGGGTGTAGAGTGGAGAGTTTTAATAACGTTGCTACCAATTTCAGGGCTGAAAATTGGTAGGGCCAACTCCGGGGTTTTTTTTTTTGTCGAATGTACAGCTGCATTTTTGGAGGTTTTGTCTGGTGTACAGCTGTTGGTTTTGTCTGGTGTGCATAGCTGTTGGTTTTGTCCGATGTACAGCTGTTGGTTTTGGTCTGGCGTACAGCTGTTGGTTTTGGTCTGGGTGTACAGCTGTTGGTTTTGTGGTTTCGGTGTACATCTGTTGGTTTTGCTTTGCGTTCAGCTGTTGGTTTTGGTCCGATGTACAGCCGTTGGTTTTGGTTCGCGTACAGCTGTTGGTTTTGTCTGCGTACAGCTGTTGGTTTTGCCTGCGCAGCCGTTGTCGGTTCGGTGCGCGCTGTTGGTTTTATCCGGCGTACAGCTGTTGGTTTTATCCGGTGTTCAGTTGTTACCGGTCTGGCGTACAGCTGTTGGTTTTATTCGCGTAGCCGTTGGTTTTATTCGGTGTACAGCTGTTGGTTTTGGTTCGGTGTACAGCTGTTATTTTGGTCCGGTGTTCGTGCTGTTGGTTTTGTGTCCGGTGTTCAGCTGTTGGTTTTGTCCGCGTACAGCCGTTGGCTCGGTCCGGTGTTCAGCTGTTGGCTTGGTTCGGTGTACAGCTGCCGGCTCGGTCCGGTGTTCAGCTGGTTGGTTTTGTCCGGTGTTCAGCTGTTGGTTTCGAAGTCCGTACAGAAGTTGTTGGTTTTAGTTCCGTACAGCTGTTGGTTTTGTCCGGTGTTCAGCTGTTGGTTTTGTCTTGTATACTATTTACATAAATATTTTTTTTTTATAAACATTTAAAATTTTCATATTTTTTCCAAACTTAAAACTTAAAAAAAAACTAATTAAGAAAAAATAAACCTTCCTTAACCTATAATAATTTCACCAAAGATAAACGGGTTTTAAAATGTTTTCCTCAACCTAACCTATCCTATCCTAACCTAACCTAACCTAACCTAACCTAACCTAACCTAACCTAACCTAACCTAACCTAACCTAACCTCAACGTTGGTCTCATTAAGCGAGGTTTTTTTATTAAGCGTATTGTTTACTGTGGTGGGTTTAATTGGTTTAATCTTCTGTTTATCCCCAATTCTCGAGGTTTTAAGAGAGGAGTAATCTAGTTTAGTGCGTTATGCGTAAGACTGCGTAAGAGGTTTATTGTGTATGTCTGTGTGTTTGTGTGTGTGTTTGTTTGTGTGTGTGTTTGTGTGTGTGTGTTGGTGCTTCACATTCAGGGTTTAATTAAAGCAACATTCACCAGGTCGTATAGTTATTAATGTTTTAATTAATGGGGGTGTGGTTTGGTGGTGGTGGTGGGGGTGGTAATGGTGGTGATAATGGTGGTAATAGTAGTAGTAGTAGTCATGGTTGTAATAGTGGTAGTGGTGGTGATGTTAGTAGCAATAGTGGTGATGGTGGTAGTATTAGTGGTGATGGTGGTAGTAATAGTGGTGATGGTGGTAGTAATAGTGGTGATGGTGGTAGTAATAGTGGTGATGGTAGTAATATATGATGGTAGTAATAGGGTGAGATGTTAGTAGCAATAGTGGTGATGGTGGTAGTATTAGTGGTGATGGTGGTAGTAATAGTGGTGATGGTGGTAGTAATAGTGGTGATGGTGGTAGTAATAGTGGTGATGGTAGTAATAGTGGTGATGGTGGTAATAGTGTGATGGTAGTAATATGTGATGGTGGTAGTAATAGTGGTGATGGTGGTAGTAATAGTGGTGATGGTGGTGGGTAATAGTGGTGAGTAGCAATAGTGGTGGTGTGGTGGTGGTACAGGTGATGGTGGTAGTAATAGTGGTGATGGTAGTAATAGTGGTGGTGGTGGTAGTAATAGTGGTGATGGTGGTAGTAATAGTGGTGATGGTGGTAGTAATAGTGGTGATGGTGGTAGTAATAGTGGTGATGGTGGTAGTAATAGTGGTGATGGTAGTAATAGTGGTGATGGTGGTAGTTGTGGTAGGCGGGATGATCAACATTACTCCTCGGCTTTTTAATTGGTTTGCGCCAGTTTAAATTTGTCGACTACTAATTAAATTGACCTAACGTCATATAAAATTGGCCTGACTTCATATAAAAATTGACCTGACGTCATATAAAATTGACCTGACTTCATATAAAAATTGACCTGACGTCATATAAAAATTGACCTGACGTCATATAAAATTGTTTATTTCTAACGTGTGTGTGTGTGTGTGTGTGTGTGTGTGTGTGTGTGTGTGTGTGTGTGTTTACCCTATTTTAACTATATTTGTGTTTGATCATTACTATGTGTTTGTTGCATTTGTTTTACTTGTTGAATTTGTTTGTTTTTGTTATCTTGTTGCCAGAACGGAGAGATTTAATTATTGTGAAAAAATTTGTCACTGTGAATCAGAGTAAAATTGATTGATTGATTTAGAAAAAATACACAGATGGTTTATAAAAATTGTTGGGTAATAGACATCGGGATTGGGTTGATTTGGGTTGAAATTGACGTGATTCGTATTAAAATTGGGTTGGTCTAACTAAAATTGAGTTGACTTTGAGATAAATTAAGTTGAATTGGGATAAAATTTAGTTGCAAAGTTGACAAAATTGAATCGAATGAGTACTTTTTGTAGTATGAAATTTTATTGAATTGATCAGCATATGTCAGGATTGATTGAGTAGAATTTGCGTGTTTTGTTTTTTCCAATTAAATGTATTATCAGAATTGAGTGAGTGGGTTGATTTTCGGCGTGTGTCAGGATTGAGTGAGTTGATTTGCGTGCATGATAAATTGAGTTCACTGATTTGTGTGCATCATGAATGAACGAACTTATTTGCGCACACGATAAATTGAGTTTACTGATTTATGTGCATCATGATTGAACGAACTTATTTGCACGCATGATAAATTGAGTTCACTGATTTGTGTGCATCATGATTGAACGAACTGATTTGCGTGCATGATAAATTGAGTTCACTGATTTGTGTGCATCATGATTGAACGAACTGATTTGCGTGTGTCAGGATTGAATAAACCGATTTGCGTGTGTCAGGATTGAGTGTGTTGATGTGGGACAATTGGCAGGACCTGTTCACCCAATTTGTTCTAGATGAATGACTCTATGACCGCAGATCTGAGTTTAATTATATCATTTTGACAGGTGTGTGTGTGTGTGTGTGTGTGTGTGTG